CACCTGTTTGAGATAGAATCTCTCTCTGTAGCTGGCCTAGAACTGACTATGAAGACCACAAAGGCCTCCATCTCACAGAGATCCACCTGCCTCTGTCTCCTGAGTGCTGGGATTAAAAGTGGGTGCCACCAGGCCCAGCCCTAGGACCTTATTCTTAATAAATGATCCCAAATAAATCTTATTGTCTGGTAAAAACATTGGCAAACACTGAACTAGAAAAATCTCCAAGCTGCCCACTTTCTTACTCTAATTCTATATTACCTGGATGTCTTAAAGTTATGTTCTAAAAGCATGCAAAATTATGATAGTTCACTATTTTACTACACACACAAATACAAGATCATAAAAATATATAGATCCACTCCCTATGACAGCATTCACACATTTAAACACCAATAAAAAAAATCCTCCTAAATTCTAAACAAGTGGAACACTGAATTTGATGAGGTAAAAAAGAACTTCATATTAATCACTGAACGTATTAATATGGAGACACTGAATTACAGAAACAGACACTTCTATAATGGGTTTGTTAATGGGTCTCCCATAGCCTAGGCTGGCCTCCAAGGATTGACCTTGAACTCCTAATTCTCCTTGCCTTCCAAGTGCTGGGATTACAGGTGTGTACTGTCATGCCCAGTTTATACTGGCATGAATCCAGGGCTTTCTGCATGCTAGATATGCACTCTGCCTACAAAGCTACATTACTAGTTCATCCCTAATGTTAAATGGAAATTATACATTGCAGTCTTGCTTTGAAGAACATTAGCTAGTGATCCCACCTGCTCTTAGCTAAGAAATAGCAGCTGTTAATGAGACCTACAATACTGGAATGTAATTGTTACAAAGAAAAAAAGGAAAAGAAAGAAACAATGACTGATTACTAACTCTTCAAAGTCACCTCTGTGTAGATAACAAAGCAGTTAGAGTCCACAATCTTTTGATAAGGCGATGTCAGGTAAAAGAGGCACCTGACGTGATTTCTACACAGAAAAGAAAAAACTAGGTGCAAGAAAGTTTCAACAGAGACCTGCTTAATTATGATGGAAATTTTCAGTGAGCCTTGAAGTAATGATCCAACCAAGTAGTTGGGGATTAGTTATTAGGATTGTCAAGGGTATCTGTTTTGTTCTCTCTCTCTCTCTCTCTTTTTGAAATGGGAGATGATAGGAGAAAATGAAGAGGAAGAAAGTTTTTGGAGCACCACACACACCATATCATTCATTATTTAACACAAATACATAGAAAATTGACTGTTGGGGCTTGAGAGATGGCTCAGAGGTTAAGAGTACTGGCTGCTCTTGCAGAGGCCCTGGGTTGAATTCCCAGCACCACAAGGTGGCTAACAACCGTTCATAACTCCAGTTCCAGGGGATCTGATGCTCTCTTCTTACCTCCGCAGGCATTGCACAACATGGGTACACTTACATACATGTAAGCAATGCACATAAAATAAAAATAATAAACAAAATATCTTTTTAAAAAAATTGACTGTTATAAATTATGTCACTGGGGCCAGCCAAATGGTTCAAATGATAAAGGGGTTTATTGCCAGGTCTGAGTCTGACCACCTGAGTTCAATCCCCGGTATCCACGTTATAGAAGGAGAGAATTGACTCCCACAAGTTATCCTCTGACCTCTGCATGCATGCACACTATGTACACACACACACACACACACACACACACACGCAAAATAAAGAAATACATAAATAAACTTTAAAAAAAATAATGTCACATGGTTGGGAGTGTCGTCCATTGGTAAAGGGCTTGCTTAGCATGTGTGAGGTCATGGGTTCAATCCCCAGTATCACATTAGGAAAAAGTCACAACTGAATTGGAAAATTACGAAGAAAAAAAATCAGGTGAACTGTTTTGACTCAACATTTAAAAAAAAAACCTAATATCCTGGACAACATATTAATACCTGTTTAAAAAAATAAATTTAATTACTTTGTGATACTGTATCAAATATAGCATCATTTATAGTATGTGGAATGTACATCTTACCCTACAGTGTGAAGATTAGTGTGAAGATTGTTGGCATAACCAATCCAAAATATTTTCTGAATTTACTATCAAAATATAAATGTCATTATTTCAATTGATTCCAATTATTTCACAGATTTTAAGGTTAAATTCATTTTTGTAAAAAATCAAAGGGAAAGTGAAAACTCAGTTATTCCTATAGCTGAAGTGGCAAACAGCCATTCTGTCCTTTAAAGAACACACCTTAAATTTCCAGCTTGCCACCAACTGTCTTTCTCTGTTTTTCAGAATGTTTCTAAACTGAATATATCTTCAATTTGTTCTATTTTCTTAACCAAATAATGTACATGCTTTTGAATAAGAACAAAAACTAAGTCTTGTACATTATTATTATTCTAGAATTCATGGGAAAATATCAGTAATTTAATCATCTAAATAACATGTTTTGAAAAGTACTGTGAGGCAGGTAGGGTGGCACACACCTGCAACCCCAGCATTTTCCGGGCTGAAGCAGGAGTTCAGGAGTTCAGGAGTTCCAGGCCACGCTCGGTTACTTAGCAACTTCTAGGGCCAGCCTGGACTATATAACAAGACCCTAAAGAGAGAGGCAGAGGAGGCTAGCATAAGAGGTGATGGGTGGGGGAGAAAAGCTCTTCTTAAAACTATATCAGTGACAGGAGACTGCTTTAAGCACCATCAAAAACAAATTTCAAAATAATGCAAAATTTTTTTTTTTTCACAAATACAATGGAGTTTTATTCCAGCATATAAAAGAAGAAAATTATGGGGCTGAAGAGATGGCTCAGCAATTAAGAGCACTGGCTGCTCTTGCAGAAGACACAGGTTCGATTCCCAGCACCCTCATGGTGGCTAACAACTGTGTAAAATTTCTTAAACTGAGTAAAAGTAGGATTCAAGGGCTTTTCAGGTAAATAACTGAATTCTTAAAGAAAAAAAAGATATTCTGTATTTATTTATTTATTTATTTATTTTTGGTATCTCTGTATCTGTAAAGACAAGACTAGCACCAGTACAAACTAGTGGTTTTGTTTTGAGGTACGCTCTTGCTATGTGGACTAGGCCTAGCTCAAACTCATGGTCCAAGCAATCCTCTTGCCTCAGTGTCCCAACTAGCTAAAAGCACAGGTACGTACCATCTTGACTGGCTTAAATTAGTGTTAGTAATTCATGAAGTGAGGTGCAAAACTTCTGAACAACAAAAAAGCACATGATAAACTGTATTAGTACTGGGAAATTCAGAAGCATTTGAGCATTTCAAGACACTTTTCTGTACTGCAGATATTACTGTAGATACTGGTTAAAAACTCTAATAAACAGCAGTTAAAGAATGACACCCCCAAAAGAAGCTCAGCCACTTGAGATACTGGGCATTTTCTTTTTTTCCTCCTGCTTTTAAATGCAAATTGCTAAGCCCTGAGGCACATTCTGCTCTATTTTTTTTATATGAAAATTACTGCATTGTGGTCCTGTTCTAGAGAGGACACCATTCAGCCAAGAAAAGGAAATGAGGACACACACACACACATTGTATGTTAGATGATCCCATCCAGTGAGCTGTCACCAGGTACACATGGCCTCTGTCAGCAGAGCCACCCCGTGAGTGATCAAAATTCTGTGTGAAGAAGGAAAACTTAGTTTTCAGGTCATGCAAGGTTACACAGACATTTTCAATTCGGGTGCATGCCAGGCATCAATAACAAAACTCAGCATCCCTTGGTTTTCAATAACATAGCTAGTTACTGGAAACTTTCAAAGTCTCAATAATAATAATATGAGTTGCTAGTCATCTATTCATGACAAGGTAAAACAAACAATAACACAATGCAAAAAATTATGTGCTGTACATACACACACACACACACACACACACACACACACACACACAAGATACAAGATGCTGTGCATGTTCATCTTCCCAGTCAAACACCCTACAACCCCAGGAGTTGGCTTGGAGACATATTTCAATTTAATGTGTCAAGGGATCATGGTTTAAAGAAAGAACACTTTTAAACTGAAAAAAGTCAAGAAATAAACCATAATTAACTGAGGTATTTATCCCATTGTCAAAGGTTCAGCACTTCTGCCAAAACCACATTTGATTTAGGAAATTTCACTTGATGTCAGGTAAATGTAAACAGTAAAGAAAGCAAGAGAGATATAACCTCATAAAAGGCTACTTACCTCTAGTCTTTCCAAGTTATGTATTAATTAACTTTGATTTTAAAAAAAAGAAATAACTTCTCTAGCTGAGGCAGTCCCATTCTAAAAGAGTGAACCTGGGGTGGTACTTGCCTTATCCCCTGCTCCACCCTTAAAGGCAGACCTCCGTCTACCCTCAGGTCACCAAGAACAAAAGCTATAAAATAATGTCCTTCCAATCTCTGAAATGTCAATGTGGATATTTAAGGAAGAGGAAAAGGATTGCACTGGGTTTCAAAACACTATTTAAAGGCCCAGCGTGGTGGTGCACGCTTTTAATCCCAGCACTGGGGAGGCAGAGGCAGGCAGATCTCTGTGAGTTCAAGGCCAGCCTGGTTTACATAGTGAGTTCCAGGCCAGCTGGAGCTACAGGGAGACCCTGTCTCAAAAAGACAAAAAACAAAAAAAAACCCACTATTTAAATATTTTCCAAATGCCTGTGATCAGATGTCAAGTCTGCCTACTCACAACCCAGAAAATGAATGAAGGCAGATTCCTCAAGACCAGAGATCCCAAAGGGGAAAGACTTTCAAGCACTGAAATTACAAAACCTACTTTTGGATGATTGGGAAAAGTAATGACAGCCTTGTCCTTTTAAAGAACCTAGAAGCCCTTACTAGTTCAATCTGTCCCCAAATCTATGCCACTCTTTCAACTTTGCAATTGAGAAAGAGAAGGATAAATTCCGGTCAACTCGCCTTGTGGGGTTGATCTGGGGGTAGAGGGCTCTAGAACAGAGGAGGTGGAAGAGAAAAAGAGCAAGCCAATGAAAACTAGCAAAAATTTCCCACCTTTCTTAAATTCTTCCAGCATAGCGTCCAACTTAGTGTCATTGAAAACAAAGTGCAAGGGGTGGTTATAAAACTTGGTGATGGTTTTCAAGGGAGTACAGTCATCTGGATCCACGAAGGCCAAGTCTTTGACAAAGAGCAGGTCCACGATGTTGGAACGCTCTCCCTCAAACACCGGGATGCGAGTGTAGCCGCTCTCCATGATCTCCGACATGGTGTTGAAGTCCAGGATGGCCTCGCCTGTGATCATGAAACAGTCCCGGAGGGGAGTCATCACGTCCTCTACTGTCTTGGTGCGGAGCTCCAGCGCCCCTTGGATGATGTTCAGCTCCTCCTTAACAAGGTCATTGTAGGGGTCAGTGACCCGGAGCATCTCCAGCAGTTTTTCCCGATTATACACAGTGCCTATCTCCTGGCCCAGGACGCAGTCCAGCAGTTTGCTGACCGGGTAAGAAGCAGGAAAGGTCATCATCATGAAAAACTTGGTGAGGAAGATTGTGTTGGCCCCTACGGCCAGTCCATGTCGGGAGCAGATGGCTTGGGGCACGATTTCCCCGAAGATGACGATGCCGATGGTGGAGACCACCACGGCCACAAGGCCTGAGCCCGCGATGTCGTCGAGCAGGATGGTGAGCGTGGTGTTGACCAGCACGTTGCCCAGCAGCAGCGAGCACAGCAGGTAGTTGCCCTGCCTGCGCACCGGCTCGATGCGCTTGGCATAATTCTTCTCCTTCTCGGTGCCGCAGTTTTGCACGATGCGCAGCTCCATCGGGTCCAGAGCCATGAGCCCTAGGTTGAGGCCGCTGAACATGCCCGACAGGCACAGCAGCAGCGAAATGAAGATCACCTGCAGCCAGAAGGGCAGCAGGAACTTCTTCTCCTCGCCCACGATCATCTTGGTGTCCTCACCGTCGTGGTAAATCCAGGTGGTCTCAGCCCAGGGAGGAGGCGGAAGCCCGGCCACCCCCGCGCCACCCTTGCCCCCGACGGCGCCACTCGCGGACCCGGAGCCGCCCGCGCCCAGGGCCGGCGTGGAGAGCGACGTGCACAGGTAATAGGACTTGCTCTTCTCCATCTTGCGCAGCGGCTTGATCTCAATCTCGATGATGCCCGAGGTGCGGCGATTGAGAATGATGTGGGGCAAGATGATGATGTCTGAGGTGCGGATGCCGCAGCGCTGGGGGCCGCTGTCCGGCTCCGGAGGCGCGGGCCCCCCCAGCCCGCGCTCGCCGGGTGTGTGCCGGCGCCGCTCGTGCTCGGTGAAGGCGATGCGGGACCACGTCTCGTTGTTGATGTTCTGCCCGTACACCCGCAGCTTGACCCGGGTCCGCTCGCTCACCCGCAGCGCACCCCCTTCCATGAACGACACGTCGTTCGTGTCCTCCAGCCGCAGCCCGATGATCACCGTTTCCTCGTTCTCGCCGGCCGCTGCGCAGCCGCCCGCACTGCAGCAGCAGCTCAGCAGGAGCAGCGGCAGCAGCCGGCCGGCGGCAGCTTGCAAGACCCCCCGGCCGCGGGCGCTGAGGCTGCGGCGCGCCGCCATCTTCCAAGTGGGCAGTGCGGCGGCTGCCTGCCCGCCCGCCATCTTTACTTCGGGCTCACAAGCGCCACAGCCAATCATACGGTGGCTGCTCCAGCTGCGGCTTCATCCTTCCTACCCGGCGTCGCGAGGCGCAGGCACCGGCCCCTGAGCAGGACAGCGCCCGAGTGTCTGCCGGCCTGAATGACACTGACTCGCTCCGGGCCAGCTGAGGAACCCACGGCTCGCGGGAGGAGAGAGGGGAAGGAGGGGAACGCTAGCCCTAGCGCCTGCGAGAGGCAGGTCGGCCAGCCAATCAAGAGCGGGCGCCCGCCTTCCCAGCCAGGGGGCCGGAATGGGGGCGTGGTTGTGCTCGGTGTCCCCGACCAATGGCAAGGCAAGTGGGAGGGGAGCTGCGGGCCACTGTCCTCCACAGCACGCCAAGTTTCCAACTGAAAGGCGCGTGACTCTTGTGTATGTGCGAGCGGAGGGGGCGTGGCCATCCCAGACCCAAGAGCCAGTCAAAGAAGAGCGCTGTAGGGAAGGGGGCATGGCCTTCCTCTAGCCTGCCAATGAAAAGGAGCGGTCCGCGGGTGCGGCGCTCCCAAAGGGGGCTCTGTAGTAGATCCCCGCAGCCCACTTGGCCGGGTTGGAATTCTGCCCTGAAGCGCGGGGCTGCGAGTTCTCGCAGCACCGCCTTCTGGGCTCCTCAGGGTTCAATGTTGGTGCAAAAACGGCTGCACCCTTCAGCCCTGGGAGCTCCAGAGCCCACTAGAGGCTTCTTAGGATGCACATAGCCTAAAATCAAGTCAGGATTCTGTCATGCGCCAGCACACTAGTGCACACCACTCCTCGGGAATGAGCGGTGACAGGGTGGCCCCAGCTCAGGATTCTGTCATGCGCCAGCGCACTAGTGCACACCACTCCTCGGGAATGAGCGGTGACAGGGTGGCCCCAGCTATGAACCTGTCTCCTCATCTCTGGATTTTTGCTGGCGGCTGTGCGCCCTCAGCTGCTCATGATCACATGGCGCCATCTGCCGGCGCGATAATGCTTTCTCGATCCTCAACAAATCCCCCAAAGAAGTTATCTGGACAGCTTCCCAAACTTTGTAGTCATAGGAATTCTCAGTCTTGCTGAAAGTACTGTATCCTTTCCCTGGATTCCGTCCCATATTCACGGAATGAGAAGAGCCCAGAATCTTCATTTCTAACGGGCACCCAGGCAAGTTTGGAAGAAAGGAGCAAACATCCCATGAAAGTTTGTTCTTAAGCACACTGACAAAATTGCTGCCAGGTTTACAGGCCCTTGCAGAGAAAATAGAGTCTGCAGCAGAGGTCACCAGGATCTCAGTTCATTGCATCTGGAGTAGACGTGGTAGAGAGTGACTGCCAAGTTGATCTCTTTCTCGATTTAGTATTTGTTAAATGCTTCCCACTCTTTCTTTGCATTCCATAACCACATTGCCCTTCCTTCTGTCAATCATTTGTGATGAATTGCTGGGACATTAATTCCTGAGCTGATTCGGTGGTCTCCTAACTAGTCGCTCCTCTTTTACTCCTGTCCTCTTACCTTGCCCCTGGCTTTGCAGCCAGTGATTTCTTCAAATCAAGGCCTGTTTATGTCCTGTGTGAACCCTTGCAGAATACTTCTGTCCCACCCAGGCTTTCTCCTCACTGTTTCTCTGCCACTGTAGGAAGGTCCTCCTGGGAGCCTTTGCACTTGCTGTTTGTTTCCTGTGAACAGAACTCGTTCCTTCCAGATACCAGCATAGCACTCTTTCAAGGCTTTGCTCAAAGGCCACCATGCTCCATCTCTACTATTCTTCAAAGCAAAGATCACTTACTAATAGTCTATGTAAATTATTCATTTGATTGGTAATCTGTCTTCTCTCAAGAATTTTTTTCTGTATTGTTTACTGCTGTATCACCAGGGAACAATGTAGATATTCAAAACAGCATATGTAAGGTGTTAAAGAAATAAAAGAATGTTAATTCTGATTTTTTTTTGTCTTTTTGACACAGGGTCTCCCTGTAGCCCCAGCTGTCCTGGAACTCACTATGTAGACCAGACTGGCCTTGAATTCACAGAGATCCCCCTGCCTCTGCCTCCTGAGTGTAGGGATTAAAGGCATGCACCACCACTCCCGGCTCTATTCTGATTATTTTAAATAATGTCCAACTCTGGTTCCAGCCCTCTGTTTTCTGATTTTTTTCTCCCCCCCCATACTGCTACATTGGAAAAATTAGTTCAGATAAAGAAAACTTGACTCTCAAATTTCTTACATGTTTATAAGAATGGCATTTATAGATGTTTAGAAAAAGTTGGAATTTTAAGAGATATCTGACAGTCATTCAAAGCTAGCTGATTGAAAATGGAATCACTTTAATTTAATAGAAAGTGTGACTACAAGTATGTTTTGGGCTCAGAGGGAATATGGTTAAAGGCTCTCCAATGCTGAATATACAGTTTGGAATAGGAGTGTGGAGAAAGGGAAGAAGTGCTTGCCAAACCTACAGACATTTCCTGTGCATTTCAGAGAAAGCAACAACAGTCAGGAAAAGTGTGGTGTTCAGCAATTTAGAAGCAAGTTAAAAATTCAAGACTTCAGAGAAAAATATATCAGAAAAGCATCTCCCCAAAGGACAATATAAAATAAACCAATTTCAAATTTACACAGTGGAGCTGCTGATGATCCTCATCCTGAATAGTAGATGTGCGCTTATGTGCACCTAAGCCACACAAACTCACCTAGCTGCCTAAGCCAAGGATCTTTTCCTCAGAAGGAGGATTGTCCTTCAGACTCAGGGGGACCTTTTAGCCCAAAGAGGTGCTCATTCCTTAGGGAGGAGCTGCTGATGCTGGCTAGTGGTAACTTCTGTTGATCTGTAGGAAGAGAAGACAAGGTCAAATGATGGGTCTAAGGATCTTCTGAAGTCTGGGAGGGGAAAAAAAAAACACAAAACACTGATTTCTGACCATATTTCACCTCCATAAAAGGCAATAAAAGGCCGCAATTGTTAAAGAGTTGCTTACCAGTATCTAATCCGAACTTCATTCTGACTTTGTCTGACCTTGAACAAGTCATTTAAACTAAGCCAAAACCTCCCTGCAAATACCTTCCCTAACTAAACCTCTCTTCCCGTAATCCTTCACTGGAAACTAAGGAAAAAAGAATCACTACTCAATTTTCTTACCTGTAAAAGAGACTCCCGAGTTTGCAGGTTCAGGGATTAGGTCTTCAGCCAGACCTAAAAGTCTTTTCAAGTTCAATGCATTTGATTTTCTAGGATTGCAAATAAATCCCCAAATGACTCTACACGTTTTGTTAACATGAAGTCTAATTTGTAGAGTTTTTTGTTCTGAAATTTTCCTAGTTGTAGAAAAATATTCAAAGTTATGATTCCAAGTGTGATGTTTTGTAGGGAGGTGGGACTGGAACACAAGACCTTGAACATGCTAAGCACATATTCTCCTGTTGAGCTACACCCTGATCAACAGTGACATTTTAATTGTACAGAACACAAAGTCTTCAGAGAAAAACCAGGACCTAGAGAAATACTAGAGTTACACAAAATTGCCCTAGAATCCATCTGTTCATCCACAGAGGAATTTATCAGAAATACTGTCCATATGTTTAAATCCATAGAACTCTTCAAGACAAAATGAGATTTTTTTACAACAGCTAACAAGAATACTCAATGAAATAAAACCCAGCTTATTATCTGGGTTTGTTTAGAACTTTTCCATTCCCCTAGTATTTCTAGATATTCTCTGGACATTGTTACTGAGAAAAGAAAGAAAAATGTGGTTTTAAATTTTTTTGTGTGTATGAATAGTTTGCGTGTATGTAAATGAATCCATATCATGCAATGCCTAAGGAGGCCCAAAGAGGGCATCGGATCCCCTAGAACTGGAAAAAGAAAGAAAAATGTGGCTTTAATTTTTTTTTTTTTTTTACTTTATGTGTATGAATGTTTTGCCTACATGTGTGTAAGTGTACCATAAGCATGCAGTGTTGGCAGAGGCCAAAGGAGGGAATCAGATCCCCTGGAACTGGAGTTAAAAACGGTTGTTAGCTGTCATATGGGTGTTGGAAACTGGACACAGGTCCTCTGTGAGAACAGACAGTGCTCTGAAACACTGAGCCATCTCTCCAGCCCTAGCTTCATTATAATCTAATAGGACCACCATTACATGTATAATCCAGCCTTGACCAATTTGTCACTTTATGGTACAGAGCTTTGTCTTAAACTGACCCTCTCAGTTTGAACTAAAGATATGCCACTTCTTCAGCAACAGATAGGATAATGAACAAAGATAAATATCACATGCCATGGGCTGGAGAGCTGACTCAGCAGTTAAGAGAACTGGCTGCTCCTGCAGAGGACTGAGGTTCAATTCCCAGCACTCACATGGTGGTTAACAATCACCCATAACTCCAGTTCCAGGGGATCCAACACTCTCTTCTGATCTCCATGGGCACTGCACAACGTAAGTGGGCATATACACATGCAGGCAGTACATTCGTACACATAAATAAAAATTAAAAATATCACATGCCACAAGAATTCTCCCATTCCTCCCCCCAAAACTAAGATGGGACACCATAGCCTCCATTCAGAAAGTCCCTATGTGAATCACAAGCTACTGTCCTCAAGGTCTCTGTGGGAATTAGGGATCTTAGAACAAGCTTGCAGTTTCCCAGGTTGGCCTGGCTTCCTGATCACAAGTCAGACTTCCTGATATAGTCTTTCTTTTTAAGATTTATTTATGTGGATGTGTGTATGCCTGAATGTACATATATGTATGTATATATATATGCACCACATATCTGCAAGTGCCCATAGAGACCAGAAGAAGTTGTTGGATCCCCCAAAACTGGAGTTGCATTGTAGCGGGTTGTGAGCCCTGATATGGGTGCTGGGAACCAAACCCAAGTCCTTCACCAAAGCAGCAAGTGCTCCTAACCACTGAGTCATCTCTCCAGCCTCCTGAAAATAGTCTTGTTAAGCTCTAAAAAAAACTTTAAGCCAGGCATGGAGCCATGCACTAGGGAGTCTGAGACAGGAGGATCGCCACATAGCAAAATCCTATCTTAAAAAAAAAAAAAAGCCAACTCATTTCTTCTCATATAATACACAAATGTGCAAACACCATACAACATAAATGTATAGCTGGCCATATAATTTTTCCCTGAAGCTGGGCGTAGTGGCACATGCCTGTAATCCTAGCACTTGGGAGGTAGAAGCAGGATCTCTGCAAGTTCAAGGCTAGTGTGATGGTTTGAATGAGAATGTCCTCCATAGGCTCCAAGTATTTG